CTGGTCTATCAGAATGTACTGATTTCCTCATAGGAATGCTTCATATACTTTGGCAGAGCAGGAACAAGGAAATAGAAGCAACTGATCACAGTCCCAATTCATCAGTTGGGACTTGGGATTCAAAAAAAACCAGAAGGCTAAAAAAATTGATGATAAATTTTTAAAAAATGATTGTGTACACTAAAGCAAATACAACAAAGGCTTAGTTTTAAGATATTTGGGGTACAACTGTCATGAATCATCATAAGGAACCGTCCACAAAAATTGGAAGAGAGAAATAGTGATAAAATGAAACTGGACAAAAAGCAAGAAAAAAACATAGAGAGCAAAAGATGAGGGCAGTACAATAAAGCAGACCCAATTTTTATTATTAAAAAAAAAAAAAAAAATCAACCATAAGGATAGTTAATTCTGAAACAAAGCACAAACCTGTAAGCATGTAGTCCCTATAATGTTTAAATGTTTATTTACCTAGAGATATTGCCACTATGCCAGCCATATGATACTGAGACGTATAAAGGTTGTCCAACATATCTTTCTCTTGCTCATCAGATAATTCTTCTTTTGCTCTCAGTAAACATAAATGTTCCACAACTTTCCTGCAATACAAAAATGGAGACACAAAGTCCATAAATTGGAAAAAATATCTCTTACGGACCAAGGTTCGCAAACCAGAAGCACACTACTCATTGGTTCAGCCAACACAGCTGAAGAAAAGGTTGATTTCTTATAGCTTTTTTCTAGCCCCTAATCTCACTATATTTTTGCCAAATAAAATGACCTATGAATTCGACAAATCTTTTTTGTCAATAACCTCATTTACATTTTCCATATCAGGTTGATCATGATTTTTCTAACATGCTTTTCGATCTGGACTGACTTTCACAAAGCAGACTACATAGTCTATACTTTGCCTTCGCTATATGCCTTGATAGATCAACCCATTATTGAATTGAGTGAGTTGCAAGACATGATGACAAAATGGAAGAATGGAAGCAATTTCAACATCTCCAATTTAATGAAAGTCATAGCATGCAAGACTTTAACTTGAGTTGCCTTTAATCTTTTAAAAATTGAATACACTTGAAAAGATTTAAGGCAAGGTACATTTGGTTGGACAGGGAGTGATCTTGGAGAAAATGATTTCTAAAATTTCCTTACACAGCGATCGGAAATTCAGTAAAAATTCCTTATCCGAAGAGTGAAAAATGTTTTCCTACAATTTAAATAAAAGAAAGCCGCGATTTTTTCCAAGAACTCACCCTTCTTTCTCTCGGTCCCTTCACATCTCATTCTTTTACCTCCTTTCCTCTACTGATTTCCTCTTTTATTCTCCCTCATTTCCTCTAATCAAATCCAGATCAGGTCATCAAATTCTACCAATGCTACTATGCTTGCTCACTCTTTTACACAAAACGGAATAAATATGAAATTTTAGTTACAATCCAAACAAGGGAAAATCTAATTTACTAAAACTAATTTGTCCTGTATATATTTATTTCTAGGAGAATTACTATATTTATCAGAAATTATTTACATTGCATCAATAATTCAATACATAGCAATTTAAACTAGAAAATAATCCAGTTTACCATGCAATCACTAAATTGAACAACTTTTCTTGAAATTTTAAACTAAGATGACAAGCTAAGAATTAGGGAAACAAACCCACCTTTTTCGTACAACATCATTACTTGAATTCTGTGATGAAGAAGCCAAACAAACACCGCTTTTTCTTCTTCCACCCCAACACTTCATTTCAAGAGCTGAAATTGGAATCAATTTTAACATCAACCCTAATATTTTTACACAATAATAATTCTCAATTAATAGTTTCAAATTCAATTGTTGGCCAAGTATTATCAAATGTAGAATTTTATGATCAATTTTATATTTTTAATAAATTGACAGAAATTTTAGATTATGATAGATTATTAATACAAATTAAAGAAAAAAATTGCAGGAAAAAAGATGAGGAGAGAGAATGTAACTGACAGTAAGAGTTGAGAGAGAAATATGGAAGGGAGAGACATGGCATTGCAAGAGCGAAGGAGGAGTAACAATGGAGGTTGTGAGCTTGAAGATTAACGAGTGGACTGTAAACTGCCATAGCTTTGGCGCCTTATTAATCCTCCTCATGTTTAGCATTTTGGTCATCTTTTAATATAAAGGAAAAAAAATCTCTTACATCGTACGTTTGGGAGTAGGATGGCCATTAATCGGATCTAGGTCGGATTTGATTAGGAATTTAGGATCAAACCCGAGTTTATAATGTAGATTTAGGCTTGACCTATTCAAATTTGAATTTGAAGGAGAGGGTTGTATAAATTGGTGAATTTGTTTTGACGAAATGATTAATAAGATTAATAAGTAATAGAGTTGATCATAGGTTGAGTCATGTAGGATGATGCATCATGCTCATCCCAAATGTTCATACTAATTATGTTTTAAAAGTTGTCATACGCTAGATTCATCCACTTAGGTTGATCTTTTAGATATGGTCAATATGGAGCCTTGTAGTATGTACGGATCCAACACAAATGTCGAATCATATTGTACTAGTGAGCTCTCTTAACTGATTTACAATTTTTATAAGTTACTTAGATATAAATGGGCTAATCAACGCTTGATCTCTAATCAAATTTTGAAAATGATGTCCATATACAACTCATGACCCATTGTTGTGCCACTAATGTTGTGTTGGGCTTGTAGGAGATGTAGAAACTATAAAGAGAGAGATAAGAGATAAATATTTACATTAACACACTAAAAACGGAGATACTCTAGGCCCATATAAATAGACTTACAACTCTAAAAACTAATAAAGCTATAAAGTAGGAACTAATAAACACGTGGGTAACAAACACTACACCACTAACTCAAGTACTTGGAATAACGTTCTAATAAACAGATATTTAGGAAAATTATATGCAACTAACGTTCCACTAGTTTTGGAGCACTAATTACTAACTACTTTGAATCAATCCAACATTCCCCTTGATTCAAAGTCTCATACACTCGACTAAACTTAATATTCCATATTGCCAATTGACTTCAACTTAAATTTGACATATTTTGATCTCAACAAGAACACTTAACCGCACACTCGACTTTGGAAGAGCTAATCTTCCTCTTCAAATTTCATAACATCTTGCTAGACGTTTTAATTTGTGATGCACATCTCATCACCTACACACTCGGAGCACTTCTCTCCGCACAACCAAACATCGACATTTTTGTTGATGCACTACTTCTCATCAACTATTCGATCTTGTTGATGCACATTATCACCAACTTTACATTTAATGGAGCACATCTCTCCATAAACTCTCATTGACATTGTCCTTCAATTGACCATGTCACCTTTGCATCATACCAAAAATTTTTAATTGGTATTGTCTTGAAAATCGTCTCTGCGTTGATTACGACTTTCACACTTGTAAAGATTATATGATCTTTACCTTAAAATAATTTTTTGCCCTCTTTTTTTACCGGACTAAAATCCAATTACATCGGCTAAAAGGGAACCCAATCAACACTAGACCAAACCAACCATTACTTCCATGGTTAAACAGAAACACGCATAATTAAAAAATTTCACTCGATATTTTTTTTTTAATTTCTCACACACAATGAAATCAAGCTGTGTTGCTTGGTTCAATACTCAATTTTTTTTTAAATACTCTCTTTCTCTTTTTTTTTTCTTCATCTCTTTACCTTCTTTTCTTTTTTTCTTATCCCGGATCTAACCTGAAGCTCTGATACCATGTAGAAACTATAAAGAGAAAGATAAAAGATAAATATTTGAATAATCTGTTTACATTAACACACTAAAAACAGAGATACTCTAGGCCCATATAAATAGACTTACAACTCTAAAAACTAATAAAGCTATAAAGTAGGAACTAATAAACAAGTGGGTAACAAACACTACACCACTTACTCAAGTACTTGGAATAACGTTCTAATAAACTGATATTTAGGAAAATTATATGCAACTAATGTTCCATTAGTTTTGGAGCACTAATTACTAACTACTTTAAATCAATCCAACAGGAGACTCGTGCCAAATCAAACCATTTTCCGCTTTTCCGTGTGTTGCCACTTGCCAACATGAAAATTATTTTCAAATTTTGTACGAGCATAAGAAGTCGTCTTAGTCAATTATATCAAAAGGAGAGGTGCTAACACGACACGGTAATACATCAAATTTGAACCCCGTTTATAAAAATGTTATCACAAGCCCAACTTGACACAACATGAAATTTTAAACACAACCAACAAAGACATGTACTCCCTCCGTTTTTAAATACTTGCTCCATTTCTCCTAAAATATAGAGGTAATGAGGTAGTTGAGAAAATAAAAAATAGTAGTAAAAAGCAAAAGTTTTGGAAGAATAAGAGGAGAGAGAGTATTATGTTGGATGCACTAAGTATGAGAAATGAATTAAATATTTTAAAAGCTTTCAAAAAAAAAAGAAATGGAGCAAATATTTAAAAACGACCGAAAAAGAAAAGTGGAGCAAGTATTTAAAAGCAGGCGGAAAAAAAAAGTGAAACAATTATTTAAAAACGGAGGGAGTAGTTTTAAATGACCCAACCAGTGTGTAGCTCTTGACTCTGGAGAAAGCGGAAAGAAAGCTGAGAAATGGCAATTCAAAGTTGCCAAATCTATGCATAGATCCACAAAGCAAAGAAAATACTCTTAACAAATAACAAGTACACTAAGGTAAACAAAGTTGATGCTCGAAAAAGGGCAGGTAAATCCCAAGTACACGTGGACAATTTTGCTGTCTTTTATTGACCTCCTCCACTTTATCCACAACTACATTGTAGTTTGTACTCCCTATATCTTACTACATCTATTTTATATTACTACAGAGTACATCCGTTACAGATAATAAGACATTTTCCCTCTTTATTTATGTCAAATTTTTACACATAATCTGTAATTAAGATAGTATTTGCAATTATTTAATATAAAGTAGAGAGAAAAAATGTCTAATCATTGCAAATAATATGAATCTGATATAATACTAGTATTTATTTTTACATACTCCGATTTTTCTACTGTGAATTCCCAAATTTCCCCTGTTTTTGTTTATTTAGTTTTTCTCTCTCCTCTTACTCAAACAGTCTCACAAACCCAGAAAAAAAAAACACAAAATCAAAAATCAATTACAGTAGGAGAGAGAAATCAGCTTGAAGATCTTTCAATGGTGTCGAAGAACAAATCCGACTGGCCTCCTCCTGGTTGGAAGGTCGTTGTCAAGTCCAAAAATGGCCGCAAGGTTAAGGTTTGTTTTTATAATTCTTTTAATTTGTTTTTTCTTTGTTCAATTAGGGTTTTTGATTTGTTATTATTTAGGGTTGTTTTCCCCCTTTTTTGGTGTTTTTTGATTGACTGATTGATATTTGAAATCAAGTATTTGATGATTTTGAGGAAGTTGTTGAGATTTGATTTACATGCAAGGTATCAGAATTTAGCTATGACTGACTTTGTTAATCTGTTTTATGATTTTTGCATCTTAACTACATGATCTATAGTTTATAGAGCTATATGAAGAAATTCAATCAAGTATTTGATTGTTTGGAAGCTTAGAATGAATTTGAGCTAGTTCAGTTCACGGTTTCAATGATATAATTTTGGAGGATAGTGCGGCGGTCGGGTCGTAAGGTTGAATAAGAGTAATCCGGGCTGTAAATGGACATCAGCTGTCTTTGTAGAGAGAGATTTGAGGTTTTTGCTAGCCACTTGCTGGCTAAGTGGTGGTACCGTGTTCGTATCGTTTAGAGCTGTTTGGAAGTCTTGAGGTTGGAAGAGGAAATGTTGGAATGGGTCAATGGTAGAAATCATGGAAATTGATGTTTTGAACCGTTCATGGGTGCTTGTTAAGAAACATGGAGTCCTTGAATTGAATAAAAGTTGGGAAAACAAGCTTGTAAAATGAGAAACAGAAAGAGTATACAAATAAAATTAACAAGGGGTTTAAAAGAGTGGTAATAGGATAAAAAGGAGAGGGAAAAACATGTGAGTAAGAAGTATATTAGGTTAATTTTAAAACCAAGTTTGTGAAAATTACTAATTTCCACTTGTTTAGTGATTCAATGTGAAAAATCTAGTATTCATATGTAAATAGTTTGCACAATTGTCTTTTTATGTGGTTTCTAATTGCCAAAACATGTTACAGAGTACCAAAATTTCATATTTGTTTTATACTTGTATCTCTTTGATATATGAGCTATTCAATCTGTTAATAAAAAGTATGATAAACTAGGGCCAGTATAGTTAGAAGTTTTCCAGTGAGCATATCTCCTTTGCTTATCTATTGTTTCTTTTCCTCTGAGTGAAAAGACGCAGGACATTTTTTGAAATATATGTATGTTTACTCGTATACTTATTATTTGTCATTCAATCTAAGTTCTCAAATTCACTGTAGGCAGTTCTCTTTCCATTAAGGCTGTAAAAGACACAATAACTTTGCATTAATTATTTTTATTGTGAAGCATGTCACTGCAATCAAGTATGCAGGAGGAATATTAGTAATTCAAATCAAAGACACAAAAGTTTCTGATTTCATAGTTATATATATTGTGTATCTGTAAATGTTGACCTATTACACTTTGCTAAGGTTAGTCATGTTGTCTGAAATACAGTACTTCATTAATTCAAAGACTCGTCAAAAGTTCTATTCAAAACCGTCTTTGCTTCGATACATTAGAGATGGATGCGTCAGCAATGAAAAGCCTCAGCCTGTTATTCAGCACGCTAATAAGAAATCTGGAGAGTTACAAATGCAGGTGAGTTTCATAATCATCAGTTTCATGTGTGTTTTTGCCTTTGCACTGTGTTTAATTGATTGATGTCATATGTTTAGCGTGTTGAAGAAAATGATTTCGACTGGTTACCCACCGGTTGGGACTTAGTAAGGAGAATCCGGAAGAGTGGTGTCAGAGAAGGAACCGAGTATAAGGTACTATACTTGTTATTATAGAAGCTGAATCTAAAGTTTGTTTCTTTTGTTAATTAGCAGTGATTTATAGATTTGTCTTCAGAAAATTTGTGTTCTGGATTCTGGAAACTTAATGCATGTATAGGAATCCTATGATAAGATATCCTATGATATGCAATGATTATTCGTATGTTGGATATGAAAGAATTTAGAATTGTATTCTCATGCTCTTATGTTGATGCTTCTATGGCTGTGCAGCTGAAACTACCTGCTATGTTGGAAGTGTGTCCTCTTCAGTTTTACAAAACCTTTTTCTTCCTCTCTTTTAAAATTAACAAATCTTCCATATGTATATAAGTACTGTACCTATTATTTAAGATTCTAAAGTGATGAAGCTATGTGGCTTTTTTTGAACTTTCAACTTTATTACTCGTCACTTTTCTGCATCTTGCCTCTTAAAACTATCAAGTGTGGAAAGTCGATGGAGACACCCTTCATCAGTATCTAACAGGTTCTTATACCTATATTGATGACTACTTGTTGAGAGGTTTCCACACCTGTAATAAAATTAAATACAGACCTTTTACTCTTTGCCTGGCTCTTGCTTGAAGGGGTTGTTTGATGCTGAGTTACTTATTAGTGATATGTAAATCAAGAAAACTAGAAGAGGACTGATATAGTTTTGGTTAGCTTTTCATCTTTTAAGTCACGGGAAACTTATTGACCTTTAAAGCTCTTTACAGTGTTATATTGACCCTTCAACTGGATCAACATTTTATTCAAAGCCGGAGGTATTGCGATATCTTAAAAGTAAACAATGCATTGGTGGAACATCTAAACAGAAGGACAAAAAAAGGAGCAGGCACTCTTCCAACAAGGTTTGTTTCATTTGATATTGCGTATTATGACGTATTGCAGCTTTATTATTGTGTTACAATCCAAATAACTGTCATTGCATGCATTCCCTATGTAAAAAAAAATTTTAAGGACCTTGAATAAAAAAAAATTAAGAAATGTATGAAAGTTGCAGGGCAACTTGCTATATAAATTCTTTCTCCCATGTTTCAGTCTTGCAATGTTATTTGAATTTGTTGTGGTATACTATATTGTAGCTTTATTATTGTGTAGGACTTTGGGTTCCACGTGTTCTGTAGTACCATAAATTTGATTAGGAATTTGGATTGAAAATGTGTGTATCTGCCAGAAAACGTGCTATATATCTTCTTTTCTCCCCATAAACAACTCTCCAGAGCCTCTTAGGTTTTATGTGGCTCTTCAAAGGATATAGCTGTTTTTTTAAAAATGTCGAATTTTTGCTTTGAAATCACGGTTATTATGGAGTAATGTATGCATATTTAAATCTTTAAAAAGCGCCTTTTGTACTCTGTGTGCTAAGAAACATTCAACTATGCTTTGCCTCAGATGTACTTACATAAATGCATTATCTTTGTAGAGGTCAGTTGATCCAGTAAGTGCTCGCAAATCCAATTTGGAGCCAAAGGTGTCGCAGATTTCAAAAACACGTGTTCGGAAGAGTCTTTCTTCAGGAAATCTGAAGGTTTGCCTTGCTTGCATTTATTTTGGGGCATCTGCCTGCAACTGTTATGGTTTGTGAGCATTTTTTAACTATTCCATAGCTGTGTTCTTGGATAAATTTATAGGTAGTAACAGAGAGAACTGTGGATGAAGATTTGCCGTCTGGATGGATAAAGGAAACGAGAATCAAGATGCTTGGAAATAAAGTAGTCAGGAGAGATCCGGTAAATAGATTCCCTTTTGACTTCAAAGGCATTTGCCTGGGGATGTATAAATCAACGTGATATATACCATCCTTATTCAACTCATTATTCATAACACATGTTATTCAAATTATGTTTCTTGTGAACTGTAAATTTCTAATGAATGTTTGTATTGAAATTGTTGCAGTTCTTATATGATCCTGCCAGTAGACTGGTCTTCCGCTCCAAGTTAGAAGTTTTACGTTATGTGGAGACTGGAGAGATTAGCAGGCATGCATATCAGAGGAAAACTGGAAGCGGTGTTGGAGAAGATTCTGCAAATGGAAAGACATCTGTAAGTCTCCTCTGATATTGTCGATATTACTGCAACTTCCTTTCTGCTGTTTTAAATAAATTTGCTGTCCTTTATACTTTTACCTCCTCTCCCTCCCCCCCAAAAAGAAAGGTTCTTGAATGCGTGGCTCATTTGTTATTAAGGAATTAGGAGTATGAGGTTGCCGATGTCCATATGATAGTTGTTTCTTCATGTTGTGTGTCACTTGCATCTGACTTGGATATTTTTGTGTCATACTTGATGGCACTGTCAGTAATGTTATGCATTTGTACTGAGATTTGCTGTTTTGAAATCATCACTTGAAGCTCACTGTCCATTACCTGCGCAGATCATGGAAAAAGGTTTAGAACCAGAATACACATACATACATGTAAATGCTTTCTCTCTAACACACAACCACCTCCACTAAGAAGTCTGTTCTCTGAAAGATCATATTTAGCAATTTTTCTCATCCCAGTTATTTTATTTATCTATATATTTATTTATTTATTTTCCATTTCTGCTAATCTGAACATTTTGGAATCTTACTAAACTTTTGAAAGTATTTTTACTGATCTTGTATTAACTCTACCTGTTTGAATTTATTACGAGAGAAACGGTTTTTTTTTTTTTTTTTTTTGAAACAGAGAAACTAGTTTTAACATAAGTGGTAAGTTATTGATTTGGCTCTTACGCATGTTTATTACATTATCAATGAAGTTTCTCTCAGAGCCCTTTGTCCTTGTTTTGATATTGTAAAATTTACAATGCATCCAACATCTTTCATTCTCATTATACCCATTCCACCTCTCCTCCTGACACATACACCAATATTATTCTGATATAAATTAATGCCCACTAGTTTCACCAATTAGTGGAGAGCAATAGAACAAGATTTATATGCATTGTGCGTTTTTTAGCTAGTGATGATTGGCCATGCACTTTTTAGATATATGTATGTTGTGAGTCTTAATAACAGACCTTGTCAGATTTTTTTTTTCTTTAAAAAAAAAAAAATAGGGCACTGGAGATAAGTATAAATCCTTCTGCAGTTACAAAACTTAAACAAATGAGTATATAATAGAGATTACCAAAAGCTAGATGATAACAGTTATAGCATCTGTTTTGGATTTTTTGAAATTATCCCACTTAAATGCAAAAATTGGCATACGTCACTTGACTTTTCCTGCAGAAATTAGTTAATACTGAGATAATGACTTAGTTTAAAAGGCGCAAGGCGCACCAAGGCGCAAATGGTCTTGGCAGCCTAGGCGCGAGGCGCAAGGCGCGCGCCTTTTGTATGCAAGGCGCATGTATTTATATATTTATTTCAAACTATATTATACTTTGATTGTACTTAATACCAATTAAAAAGATACATAATAAATTATATAAATGATATATGTAAAGCTAAGATTTATATAAATGATATATGTAAAGCTAAGATAGTCTGAATTTGAAAAAATGTCCATCACTTTTCAATTTATAACTTAAATCTTAGTTATTTTCCTTGAGGTGCAAAGGCGTGCCTTACCAAAGGCGCTTTGAGGCGCAGGAGGCTAAAGCCCATTTCCCAGAGCCTGGGAGCGAGGCGCACTTTTTAAAACCAAGGATGATGACTTGATGAGTAACTGGAAATTCACATATGAAATAGGAGACTGAGATGAGTGACTGTAGATTCATACATGATGGAGGCACATCCGGGATGAGGATCATGGATGGTCTGAGTTTGCTTGCATTGGTTCATTTAGCAGGATAAGATGTTAGCTTGATGTTATGTTCATTACAGAGGCTAGCTTCTTCATAAGCTCTTACATTTCAATGTTCCACCCCAAACATCTTTTTTCCCTTGTAAATTTCTAATGCCCCCACTTCACAAGACTTGGTGGTAACGAAACTTATGGGGAAAGATACCCCAGCTTTGTCAGCTTAATAAGCCACTTTTGAGCTCATTAATATCTGATGATAATGTATGTTGAATGTTTCACCTTCACTGGAAACAGACTATTAGTCATTCTGGTTATTTTGTATATATGCTGGCTACTTTTGTGGATACTTCCTGTTTCTACTACTATTTAAATTAAAGGAATGAAGAATAATAAGCAAATGTTGAATTACTCAAATAGGATGTCTCCACCTTTTCTTTCACTTTGACCTTATCATCATTTAGATCTGTGACATTCTAAATGTTTTTCTGTGTTGTTTTTTGAATCATGACTAATATTTTAGGCTGTTCAGAAATGGAAGCTTGACAAATAAATAGGCCGAGTAATAATGTTTATCTGAGAGCTTTATGTTCTGATCTGTTTTGTATGGGTTTTCAAATTTTCATTGTTCTGACATCTCGATTTTTTTTGGGGTTGCTATTATCAGACATCAAGTGAGCTTGAAGAAACACCAAAGAGGAGGACCAGAAATATGCTCTTTCCCGGTGAATCAAGTAGCAACAGTATCCAAGAACTTCCTGAAGATTCAGGCGATAAAAAAGTTGAAGGCAGGAAAAGCAGAAGGTTATCCTCCAGAGGCAAACCTGCCACTGCTAGAGCTTCTAGTCTTAAGCAGAGTAAATTGTCACCCATATCACCCAGCAAATCCCAAGAGTTGGTGGCCAAACCATCAATGGAAAAGCTTTCTGGAACCAAAGAATCTGTAAGTGTGACCAAACATGCCCCATCAGAAGTCCAAGATGATGGTTCAGAAGTTTCAACTCTTGAAAAGAGTGAGTCTCCTGCTCCAAGGGACTTATTGCCAGAGGAGAACCAAATACCTCTTGCTGTTCAAGACTGTAGTAATGGGAAAGCTTCAACCAGCAAAAGGAAAACAAGTGCCAGGAAATTGGTGAGTGCGCCTTCCCGATCCTCCAAGCGACTTGCTGGTGTTGAAGCTAAAGTAGTATTCCACTCAATACCCATTGAGCATACTCTTCGGGCCACAAGCAGAAAGCCCTCCAGAACTAAACCCATCCCTAGTTTGGAATCGGTCCCAGATGGGCTACAGGAGAAGTGCCATAATGTTGATAAGCAAAATGTGCTTGTATCTGAAGAAGAAGAGCATCAGACAGTTGTGGCTAATGCAGTTAGTATACTCACAACACACGGGGAACCAACAAACACAATTGATGACTTGCCATCTCAAGAAGAAAAGCATTGTACAATGGATGTTAATTCAGAAACTCTGCTTACAACTGAAGAAGAAACATTGATTAAGATTGATGACTTCACATCTGAAGAACAAAATCATTATCCACTTAATGTTGATTCAGAAAGTGTGCTTGCAGCTGTTCATGAAGAAGCATCAAACCAGATTGACAGGAATATATTAGCAAAAGAAACCCTTCTGGTTGATCTCAGTGATCTGCAGCTGGAGGAGGCTCCACCAGGCTTCTCTGAAAGTATGAAAGTTGAAGTGTCTTCAGCTAAGATACAGCAATCATTTGAGCATCCACCGGTTTCTTTACAAGGGAGCAAGGTTGAGAACACCTCTAGTGAGCGACCAATCGTTGAAGAGAAACTGGCCAGCGTTGAGAAAGAAATTGGACGGCCTCAATCTGAATACTGCTTTCCACCGCCCTTGTGGTCAGATCCATGCCTGGAATTTGCATTTAAAACTCTTACAGGCGCAATACCATTTGATGATAATTTGGCTATCCAGGATTATATCCAACATCAACTCCGCACTTCAGAAGACAATGATAACAATCAGTGTCTTCCTGATGTATGTGCACCTAGCGGTGACGAAACAATAAAAGTACCCCAGTTACCTGAAGACGTCAACATCCCAAATTCCAATGGATTTGGCTCGCCAGAAATCAAGCAGGTTAAGAATTAATGATAATCATAGTTGCTCTGTAGGTGTCTGTTGTAATTTTTTTTTTTGTAATATATAGTTACAGTGTATCTTACCCAAAGGTTTCAACTAGGTTAAGTTCTAACCATTTGTAATATCCCTAACCTTGTATTTGTTTATGATGAATCCGAAGAGCAATGAATGCTGCTGATTCACGGCCTGCTATCATTCTAAAAAGATTCTGTTTCATTTCAGATCGATAATGCCTCTGTTTTAACTCGGCATTGCTACAAGTCAAGTCTTTGTATGTATATGGTAGTATGGTACACATCAGATTATGAGGTTCTTCACTGCATTACCATGTCTTAGCTCATGTATGTCGTCATTTTAGTATTACTATTTTTTTTGTTGACTAAAATTGTATTGCAGCTGCATCTGTAACATAAATGTTTTATCATCTTCTGCTGCTTCAACTGTTGGATTGAGAATAATATATTATTTTTATCATTTCCAAAATGTTTTATTATATAGCTGCCTTCTACTGGGTTCTTTATTTTGAGAAGACATTCAGAACAACTGGAAGTACCGAATTACATTCTTATAAAAAATGCAAATATCTAAGAACAATTTTTCTCAGCCTAATGAGAGTTTCCCCATCCACCATAGCTTTCTTCTTGTGCAGCTACCCCGTGATCGTGAGCCTGGTTATGGATGAACAGAGAATTAACAATATTATTACACCAATAAACAACTCATTCGACATCTCTGGTTGGAGAAGAATTACAAAAGATTGTTTATCACCTTGTGGGTGAAGAAGAGGCTGAGTTTGATCTGTCCGCGAAATTCTTGACCTTTGACGACATTGTATGATGCTGTTGGAACACTGCCTTCTTGTAAGACTGGTTCTAGTGGTATACTTCCGTTACAAAGTTATTGCAACAAAATTATGTAGTTAAATTAGTCCTATTGATCTAGAAAGCCTCATAACAATGAGTTATTTGGCGTAAACTAAACCAAAAATCAGACATTTTCGAAACTTACGTAGCTTCTCCGACACAATCATCCTCTGTACCATAATCACTGTCCAAAAATTTTAAGGTAAGATCTGAACCACCAGAATTATTCACATCGAATGTAAATGTTTGATTCCATTCTGGTTCAGATCCTTGTCCTGCATGCATGCATACATCGATTATATTATATAAACTATATATAATAAATGAAAGGTCGGATGCTAGCTAGTTTAGTTGAATTTTGCCTCCGAGTGTTATCCAAAAGTTTAGATCAAATCTCGTCTATAAATTACAATTGATAAAAGGTTACTCAATTAATCTACATTCTGATCGTTGAATAAATGATGTTTTTCTTAACTCGAAATAAAGATAATTAACCTGTTTATGAAGATCTAGATTACCTGATGCAATTTTGCTATTTTGCTTCCGGCCTCCGTAACTCAAGATCACATAGGGATCCATCTTATCTGCGTATTAGTCCATCTTTAAACACATACATAAATGAAGAATAGATTTTATGCATAATCACGCGGTATGTGATAGAGATCGATAATCACAACTTACTGAGATAATCAGAATTTTCAAGACCTTTGGCATTTATATTTTTCAGAAGAAATTCAAAGTAAAATAGGCAAAAGAAAAAATATGCATGAGAAAATGTTGATTTAATTACTATATAAAATTGGAAATTAATAGTACTACTTATTATAGAAAGTATATTTTCTAAAAAAAATATAATAATAATAATAATAATAATAATACTTTTGTCATATTACGTAATAATAATATGTACTTATATTAACTACTTTTATCAAAAACCAACAAGGTTTTGACCTCCGATTACCGCGGTTGCCTAAACTAAAAAATAAAAAAAAAATCATCACCTTCCCGTCAGCAAGGGAAAGTGGTGGATCACCGGTCAGGGTGGTGGTGGTGGTGGTCGTCGCCGGTCAGGGTTGTAGTAATTGTTGTTGCTAGTTAGTGTGGTAGTGGTGGTTGTTGCCGAACAAGGTGCATGGCGGTGCTCATCACTGGTCAGGTTGGTGGTGGTTGTTACCGGTTAGGGTGGTGGTGGTCGTCGTCGGTCGGGTTGTAGTAATTGTTGTTGCTAGTTAGTGTGGTGGTGGTGGTTGTTGCCGATCAGGGTGCATGGTGGTGCTCATCACTTGTTAGGTTGGTGGTGGTTGTTACCGGTTAGGGTGGTGGTTGTTGTTGCCCATCAAGGTGGTAAGGTGTTAGTGATTGGTGCAGTGGCAAGACGGAAGATAATGGTGAAGTACTAAGGGCATGATTGTTCATTCACGCTAGACGTTGGCGATTTTGATCATGGCAGCAGCTCGGGCAGAAACTGGCGAGGACCCCACGGCACCCGAGTTGTTGGGACGTGGGCATCGACCGAAAATTCCTAACCCAGAATACCGGGATTTTGTCACTCATATGAATGTTGCTCGAAATAGTCCATCCGACACTTCACTCACTCCAATTGCTACACCTTCCTCAGGTATGCCGTATCCTATAGCACATTATGTTAGTTGTGATAAGTTTTCTGCAAAACACCAAAATTTTATTGCAGCTATAACAGGTGGAAAGGAGCCCCGATCCTTCAAAGAAGCAATGCAAGATCATGGTTGGAAGGTGGCCATGAAAGAAGAAATGCGTGCCTTAGAAGCCAATGGCACGTGGACTTTAGAGAAGCTTCCTCTCGGGAAGAAAGCCCTTGGGAGTCAATGGTTGTATAAAATAAAATACAACTCCGATGGGAGCATTGAAAGATTAAAGGCAAGATTGGTCGTCTATGGTAACCATCAAACCGAAGGCATCGATTATGTTGAGACTTTTGCCCCAGTTGTGAAGATGACTACAGTTCGTGCTTTTCTTGCCATTGCCGCTTCAAAAAATTGGGAGTTGCATCAAATGGATGTTCACAATGCATTTCTTCATGGTAATTTAGAAGAGGAAGTATACATGAAACTTCCTCCGGGTTTTACCACTGATAAGCCGGGCCTTGTTTGTCGCCTTCGAAAATCTTTATATGGGCTCAAACAAGCTCCTAGATGTTGGTTTGCCAAGTTGACTACGACCTTGAAGAAATATGGTTTTATACAATCATATTCGGATTATTCCTTGTTCACTTACACAAAGGGATCAATTCAATTAAATGTTCTTGTCTATATTGATGATTTGATTGTTGCAGGGAACAATTCTACAGCTTTAAAATTGTTCAAAAATTATTTGAACACTTGCTTTTATATGAAGGACTTGGGCGTTCTAAAATATTTTCTTGGCCTTGAAGTTGCAAGAAGTAATACGGGGTTGTTTTTGTGTCAACGAAAATATGCTCTTGACATTATCTCCGAAACGGGTCTTTTGGGGTCAAAGCCGGCAATGACTCCTATGGAACAAAATCATCACTTAGGCCGTGCAAGTGGGCCTATTCTTGCAGACCCAGAGCCGTACCGCAGGTTGGTGGGCCGACTTGTGTATTTAGCTGTGACTCGACCCGATCTCACTTACTCTGTACATGTTCTTTCTCAATTCATGCAAGCCCCTCAACAAGCTCATTGGGAGGCTGCATTGCGTGTGGTAAGGTACTTGAAGAGTACCCCGGGTCATGGTATATTGCTACGGACGGATGATGACCTTACTCTTGAAGGATGGTGTGATGCGGATTGGGCCGCGTGTCCTTTAACTAGGAGGTCAGTTTCGGGCTGGTTAGTCTTTCTTGGCCATTCTCCGATCGCTTGGAAGTGTAAAAAGCAGCCCACGGTGGCCACTTCGTCTGGTGAGTCCGAGTATCGTTCAATGTGTACTATAACAATGGAAATGAAATGGTTGAAGGGTCTACTTTTAAGTCTTGGGGTTCAACATCCTACAGCTATTCCGATATTTTGTGATAGTCAGGCCGCGATCCATATAGCTCAAAACTCGGTATTTCATGAACGAACAAAACATATTGAATTTGATTGTCATTTTGTTCGAGATGCAATTCAAGAAGGTCTAATTACTCCAATTCATGTGCGTACCAATGAGTAGCTTGCGGATGTTTTTACTAAGGCCTTGGGTAAACAACAATTTGATTATCTCCTTAGCAAGTTGGGCATCTTTGACCCAAGTGCTCCAACTTGAGGGGGGTATTAGGAAAGATATGATAGATTCTCTAATTAATTATCTTATGGTAGTTATTATCTTATCTTAGGAAGGTATTCCTAGTTTCCTAGTTTGATAGAGTTTGATATTATTCGGTATTATCTTCCTTGTAGCCCAAGGAGACCTCTTGTATAAATATGGATCAATATTGAATGAGAAGGCTGGGCAATTGAGCATCAATCTTAACAATACCACGACTACACCTCAAGGGGGAAGTGATATGGGGATATATAGCTTAACTGAAAAGAAATTCATTGAGCAATTTTATCAAGGTCCATCACAATTTGATTTTATCACTCCACCTATTTGGGTGGAACGCCTTTATTCTAATTAGCCTTATTATGTTGAATTGTTGGTTGTTGATCAAGGGGATTCTTATTTTTTTTATGAAGTGCGCTAAGCAAAGTAAAATAAACTATTTGATTCTTCTACGATGTTTAATTACATCTCAGTTTATTGAGTTTGTACTATTTCTTTTGAGCATATGAGTTTGATTCTTCTACGATGTTTAAAATATACTATTTGATTCTTCTACGATGTTTAAAAAAAAAAAAAAAATCACTTCTATTATGAAATATTTGTGGATATCCATTATCTTCCCTTGTACCATTCAAGAAGAATCTAATTATATTGTATATATATATATACCTTGTCATCATATGGAATAATATATACAGATTAATTCTCTTCCTATCTCTCATATTTCTTCTTGTTTTATAACACTTATCAACACCAAAGCTCAATATAATTGATCGAATTAGTTACATTACGACGCATATATAATTCATCCGTGATCAGGTATATATGTAGTCACCCCTATTTTGATTATGTTATAGAATTTCTTGAGTAACGTGAATACAATTGATAATCTGCACAATAGATTAGTTTGTTTTATATTCTTCTGCTTTCAATTTTCTAATAAACCTACCACCCACTAACATGACATAATTAACTAGAAACTTTACCACAAAACTATATTACGATTTGGTTAATTATCTAGTAACATGCATGATTGATATTGTAGTGTTTAAATCCTTTTCTTAATATAGTTTCGGATGCATAACTGTATAGTTCCGAAGTCTGGAATCTTATTTCTGCAATTTTGTTTAATAGTTATTTATATGTATTATTAGATCCAATTCTTTTTTGCTTATTACGTTGAGTTATTAATATTACATGTTCGATAAGCAAGTATTAATTTATTTATTTTACGCTTGTATGATGTGATAATTTGACTTATCAAAAGGTAATTTGATGGTAGTGGAAGTGTAACATATCTATATGCAATTTAACTAAGTGGTTATAAGTGTATTTATCACATATATGATGATGATTGCTTTTCCATCTCCGTTAATTTACCTTGTACACCGTATTACATTACCAATTATAGATTTATTTGCAAAGCTGGTCGGATTAATAATTTTCTTGGTTTTGATTGATCGACTTTGAGATTAATCCTAGTTTTATCTTGAATAAATTTGGTTGCTTCATATTGTTTACTTCGTATTTGGTTTAATGTAAGGTATAGTAAATAAATTATGTCATTTTAATATATCTATATTATAATTTCGTTTGATGATTTTAGAATCGTAACCGTATCTTTTACCATGAAAGAAATTGATTTATTTCATGAGTGTTATATTGCTAATCAGTGAATACATGTACAAATTACAAGCTAAAAGTTAGGCTACTAAAAGATAATGTTTGACAGCTATCTTTGACACACTAAAATAGCTAAACGTTTGCTAACACTGAGGAAAGTACATATACTAACTAAATTAGTAAATAAGATGTATACAAATACTTATAGAATACTCCGTATATGATAAACATATTCTAACAATATCAAACTTGATTAGCTTTAATATTAAGAATATCAATTACTTATGATATTTTATGATAAATATATTTATCAAAGTGATTTCCAAACTAATAAGTCCTCATTTATAGTATTTATTTTAGATGGCATGTTTAGACCTTATAATCCGTAAGATAGATGACATGCATTTGGTATATTAAGTTCACTACTAAAGAGAATCACACTAGTTTTGATTTGTTATGGAGAATACTTATTGGGTTTTAAGTCTATTGAGTTGTTAAAAGAGCTTAACTTTGATTGAATTAAGTGACTTTAATTTGATGGGTATAGATTAAACTTTGTGGACTAAACTTTGGGTGACGAAATAATCTCATTCACCATATGAAGATTTGCTTTAAGATATTTAAAGTCAAATATAATTCATGAGTATGATTTAGCTCTTTGAGGATAGATAGCATTGTTTTTAATTATCTTTTTGATTGAGATTGCAATATTTGAATGCATGATGTCATATACTTAATTGACTATATAGATTTTTTCTAGTTGACCTCGAATTATGTTAATCATTGTTTTATTTTATTCATTTATTTCGTTAATTAGATGGAAAAGGAGTTGATTGATAAATTATAGTAAGTGATGATAATATGAGATCCGACATATAATTTATGAAATGGTCAACTTTCAAGCTAATACTCATTCGCATCCCCATTTTTGGGACTTGAAGTTTCACATTTTGTTCTTTTAATATTAATTACATGCTTATAATGCTGAAATATTGATTAATGTATGATTGAATTTAGTTATATATGATCTCATATGACTACATGAAGTTGGTTTATAAAAATGAATTTATTTAAAAATGTAATTTTTGTATATACAATGGATCTGAAGTAACCTAAATTTATGAAAGCAAGGGTCAAAGACCTTTAAGAATATTTTGAAAACGGAAATAGCTAATATAGTTTCTAAAGTATGTTGACTAGATTATCCATCATGTTAAAATATATAAATAAGGAGTTGATGTATCTCTCTTTTGGTTGAATATTTTTTTAAAAGAAAACTCTGTGTAAGATAAAATTGATGAATGATAGCTAATTAGACTTACTAGCTCATTCCCAGAAGTGAATGAGAAATTGCATGATCAAAAGAAAACTAATAAGCATATTTGCATGATGTTCTCTTAATTATATTATTCATGAAAAAAAAAATCATAAGAATATCTATTTGAACAAGAAATAGTGTTATGAGTTCAAGAAATTAATCATGACATTATGAGCAACTTACTTACAAAATATTTTTATTATGCTCATACATACTTATAAGAGATTAATATAATTGGGCAAGAGTTACGAGTTGAGTTTTTTTATAAGAGTACTTTATTATGATTGATACATGCATTGGTAAAAGAATTTATGCCTTAAAAGGTGGAAGAAATTTAAATGTTGTTGTATTTATTCCATTATTTTATGTAATCATTGCACAGAAATAATAAAATATATTGATGGTCAGTTTAATTAGTACATACATTAACCTAAGTATCAACGATTTATATAATAGAAGTGGCCACATATTAATTAAATATTTTGTAATGATACCATCCTGAAGATGGATATGAATAAATTTCGTTGACTATATACCAGCTATAAATGCTCCAATGAACCTAAAGAACACCAGTAGCGTGATAGCCCAATGGGTTCCAAATAAACTTCAAATAGGAAAGGAGCAATTATTGACAATAATTTGACGAGGTGATGCATTTGAATAGATCTCTAGAAGAGATTATATTTATTAATTGATATGTACCATAATTATATAAAATACTCCAGAAAAGTATAAAATGTCCAACAAGGTTAGCATGTATCAAGATTATATGAGTTAATATTGGATCAAATATTAGTTGATTGTCTTGCCAACAGTATAAAGAAACACATGTTAGTGTTTTAATATCACATCATATTCATGGCCATGTACAAAGTACATTTAATAAAGTGATCACTAGTGTTGAAAAACTGACCAGAGTTCAAATTTAGAGAAGTGATTGGATGTGATAAATAAATTAGGCCATCCGGGTTTAATAATTACCCGTTATGGAAAGCTGAAGTTTTATTTGATAATGTGCTGACGCTCTCTCAATGTTAGATATATAAAATGAATTGAATGACAAGACATAATATTGAGGTTGAGCTATATTTGGATTGTGATTCATAATAATTTGTATTGATGAAAATTTCAAGAGTTATTAGGTTTTGATTTCTTATATAAAAGAGTATTGGGTGACTAGAAGTTCACCAAAGTAACTTATATATTATTGTCAATTATTAGGTTACCAGAAGCTCACCAAATACACTATTTAAGTTTTTAAAGATCCAGAAGATCACCATCTAGTAGAATTATAAGCAAGTGATTTATGCTTATATAACAATTCCTTTGATTGGGGCTATTATATGTCAGCACATAAGAAATAGGAAAAGAAGGAATTGAAATTCAACTGCACAACATATGTCTCCCCATTGATATTGAATTATTGATCTCCTGAGAAGAACAAATTATGAAAGATCTTATAATAAATACATATGCGTTATGCATTGTATAGTTAATGAAGAAATGATTTAAAAATTGCTCTCTAGAAGAGATAAAAACTTGTTTA